ATTGCAAATGCCTTGAATAAATCGGAGGTGAATTGGGGTCCATTGTCAGTGATAAGAGTGTGGGGAACTCCATGACGTCCAAAATGCTGCTTGGTTGCTTGAATAACAGCTGAAGACTGAATGCTGGGAAGCTGATCAAGTTCATAGTAATCACTATAGTGGTCCACTGTGACTAAATATGCTAGGGCATTGAGCTCAAAAAGATCTTGTGAGACCAGCTGCCAAGGTAAGTTGGGAACAGAGTAGGGTTTTAATGGTTCCCGAGCATTCTGATGAGGGTACCGAGCACAGATAACGCAGATTTTGCACATTTCCGTAATCTGATCATTTATAGGAGGCCAATACACACAACTACGCGCATGACGGAGAGTGAACTCTGTTCCTCGATGAGCACCATGAAGCTTGTGCAAAATCTTCTGGCGGAGAGCTAGAGGTATGATGACACGATCCTGTTTGAAAGACAAGTTCTCGTGCTTAGTTAATTCATGCCGAATGGACCAGTACGGTTGCGCAAGGGGAGGGACAGCAGCCTTGTCATTTGGCCAACCTGACTCAATGAACGGGCGAAGGACCGTGAGCTCTGGATCTGTGCTTGATGCAGCTCTGATCTCCTGTAGGGTAGCATCCTGAAAGCCAGACAGGTCGGTAGAGTTGAATCTTATTTCAGTACGGTACACAAACCCTTCATGCATCTGTTTGTGAGATGTCATAGGTAGAGGTGCTCGCGAGAGCGTGTCAGCTATGTGTAATGACACACCTTTGTGGTACTCTACACGAAACGAGTAGCCTTGGAGAGAAAGCATCATACTTTGTAGATGACGTGGTGCAGATGCCAGAGGTTTCTTAAAAATGGTTTCAAGAAGCTTATGATCACTCTGGACAGTTTTGTCAGCCTTGCCAAAAAGAAATTGATCAAATTTGTGGAAACCATGGACAATAGCTAGTGCCTCTTTCTCAATCTGAGCATAACGTTGTTCAGTGGGAGTGAGAGAGCTGGAGCTAAAAGCAAGTGGTTGCCATTGGATGTGACTTGAGTTTGAAGACGAAGAGGTTGGCTGGAGTAAGGCAGCTCCCAGGCCATAGTCGGAAGCATCAACCTGAAGTACTACGGGAGAGTGTACATCAAAATAACGAAGACATGGAGCTTTAGCAACTGAATCTTTTGCTTTAGTGAAAGCCTCTGTGTGCTGGTCAGCCCATAAGAGGGCCTGATTGAGGCGAGTAAGTTCACGTAGTGGACCAACTATTTCGCTGAGGTGAGGACAGAACTTGCTCTC